GAAATAGGAATGATAAAAATGAAACATGAAAGACAAAAACTTATCATTTATAACTCAATTTACCAATCAAAATATAAAAAAAGATAATAAGATAATTTTAATTAAAATAAATTATATTCTTATCAATAGGTAATTTATTTATAATTTCATCATATATACTAATTTTATACATGATAAATTTTATTAATAATATCAATTTCAACCTATTATTTATAAATATCTCATCATTTCTTCTTATTAATAAATTCCCTTAAGAAATTAAACCTTGATAGAGAATGAGATTTTGGTGGTAAAAATAATAATTGTTTTAAATATTACTAGTATCAGAAAAATTAGAAAAATAGAAGCTTTAAGATTGTATCAAAGAGAGTGGTAAACAACCAAGAATGGAACAAACTAAATAATATTGTGAATTTTCAATATCAAAATAAGTCTCTTAGACAATAGAAGAAAAAAGGTTTTTTGCACTTATTATTTATTTTCTTTTTATCTTGAAATTATTAATAAATTGATCAATTAATATAATAATAGTTAGGATTAATGTGGAAAAAAATTTTTATTAATTTTATAATAAGTTAATGATTAAAATAAAAATTGTAATTAAAATTAATCTATTATTAATAAGTAATAATTATAAGAGGGCAAGACTATAAATTTTACTTTTATCAATAAGTTTATGTCTCTATATAAAAAGATGTAATTTAACATTTATAAATTTTGATCATTAATAAATAATAAATTTTTAAAAACATTCGAAACTAAATCCATCTTTCCACTCAAATATACAATATCCCCAATTACATTTTCTTACAACTGTTTAAGGAGCTTTTCAGACAAGAATATATGCTAATATAGATTAATAATTTTACATGAAAACAATTTAAATATCTAATAAAATATTATGGCTCAATAAAATTGCATTTTATTTAAGAATCTTTTATTTTAAATAATATTAATCAGACAGGAATAAATTTGTTTCAGTGATTTTTCCCATAAACATTTCTTACAATAATAATATTAAGGTCCTGAACATTCTAAACATCTTGGATGACAATAAATTATTTATTTAGAATAGATAAATTTTTAAAGATACTTATTCTTCTCCTTCCATATCTATTGAAAATGTGAATCTAAAATTTTTAAAATAATATAAAATATAAATACTAATAGATACTATCTTAATTGTACTATTAAAATATAAATAGAAACCTTCATGTATTTTTTAAAACTAAATATCTCAAATAATAGATTTAATGTGAAAAACAGATTTCAGAAATAATATAAATACATTCAATAAAATTATATATAAAATCATTAATTAATTAGTCTATTGTTTAGAAATTTTGTTTTAAATTAAAAAATAGATTGAAATCTCAATTTTTTGGATTTTAGAAAAAATTAATTTTTAAAGAGATCAATAAAAACAAGATTTTGATCTTAATTTATAAGAATTTGAAAAAATCTATTCCTAAAAAAAACCAAACAGAAAAGGTAAAATTTAAAATGTTGCGAAGAAATATATAAAAACTTCAATTCTAATTTTTTGATTTTAATTTAGATTTTTCTCTACAGAATTGTCAATGCTTAATCATTCCCTATTTTTTCAGTAGTGAGATCTGAATGGTTATAAATTATCTAGCATATCTAGCCCCAGAAAATTCTGAGTCAAACCATATATAGGAAGTTATAACTTAATTTACATTAAACTTCCAGAATTTTAGAAGATCACCTTTAAGTTCTTATGGTCTATCTATTCCTTGTTGAATCGAATGAAAGGGTCAAAATAAAATTTAAACATTTTTAAAATTTGAATTTTTCAATCAAATCTTTGTTAAGCATTAGCTGGCTTTTTTAATTAGACATAAATTTTCATATTCAGCTCTAAGTTTTGTGTGTACCAACATTGAAATATAAATTATTTAAAGACAGATACAAGATATAATTGAATAATCTCTAAAAAAATTTTTGAAAAACAAATCGATAGAGATAGCAATTAATAATAATTATTTATTAAATTAAATGGCATTTTGAATAATTTAAAACTTAAAAAAATTTATCTACAATTTATTATTATATACTAATTAGTAGAATATTATCATGGCAAAAATTTAAAAATGATTAAAACTTAATCAATTATTTTAATAATATATTATATTTAATAAATTATATTTAGTTATTTTTCATAATAATATTAGCATTAATTAAATACAACCTTACATTAAATTTATGAATTAAAATTTTTTTTATATTTATAGGAATAACTTTAATAATTAAAATTATTATGAAATCTTGAAAATTAAACAATTAGATTTAATTTGAAACAAAGAAATAATGAGGTATTCAAAAATTAACTTAATTAATAAGAACATAAGAAAGCATTTCAACGTGATTAATTCATTTAAATAAAATTTTAAAACGTAATTCTTAATTTGATTATAATTGTGATCGAACTTATTATTAATCAAAATTATAAAATATTAATATTTTAATGAGCTCTAAATTTAGAATATTTTCAATAATTTAAGAGTAATTATGTTTGTTCCCTTTATTCTGATTATATAAGATAAATAATAATAAAAAAGGCGAATTATACTTAATTAATGTTTTCTAAAATAAAATTATAATGAAAGTTTTTTAGGTCTTTAAACATATGGATGTTTTTGGTGCACCATTATTTTAGAGAGTTGATTAAAACTCCTAAATATATAAAAGTATATTTGGAGGTGTAATATCATTATTGATTTTTTCATCTAGTTTTGCTTATGCATTTTGGGAATTTTATAAATGGAACACATACTAATTAAATCCAAAAATATCTACATCTCTTTATGCATCAGATTTCTCTTTATTAGATTAGAATTATGGAATTATTAAGATTCACTATTGGAAAGACAATATTGCTACAATCGACCCTTTCGAAAACAAAATTCTAATACCACTAATAAGTTATACTGAGAATTATATTATTGTAGACACAAAAGTATTAAAGTTTTCTAATGAAACGAGTTATACTGGAAATTAGTTTCTCATACCTAAAATAAAACTTGGATTTTCACAAATAAATGGTTCTTTAATGACTACATCAGAAATGTATATTTATTTTGTCAAATGTACAGAAGAATTACTTGGATAAAATGAAAAATGTGCTTCATAAGATTTAATTGATGTTTTTTTTAAGCAGCCATTAAATACAATAGCAATGCAAATTCATTACAATTAATTAAACTCGGAAAATGCATCTATTTAATAAAGTGTTTAAGAGTTTTTGATCTAAATTGAAAAGGAAAATTGTTAAACTTTGAATACATACTTATAGACTACTTATTATGAAGTGAAAAACTAATTTCTTTTTGGTCAACCTAATCGTTATGAATTTGTAAATGGTGTTCAAATTTAACCTCAGACTAATTCAATCTCATATTGCTAATAAGCTTTCGGTTATGAGACTTATTCATTAATTTATATAGAGATGAAAGGAAACTAAGTAAAAACTATTCTGGAATATCCAAATTTAGGAGATGTTTTGGCAAATATTGGATCAATTGTATCAGTTTTATTCATGGTTCGATTTATAATAACTTAGTTGAATTCTTATTTTTTACATGTTGAAATTATAAGGGATCTAATCTCATTTTATTATCCTTAATTTTAAAATATAAAGATATAAAGAAATTGGAAATTTTAAATTACAAAAGTTCAATTAAGAAGTTAATAAATAGATCCTAAAGAATTTTAAAAATTTTACAGTAATTTAAAAAGTTAAATGGAATTAAAAATGTCATTATTAGATATATTATATGAAATATCTAGACTTTATTTTTTAATACGCTCAATTAAATCAAGAGAAGAGATAAATCGGTGCCATTAAATTGGAATATCTATAAATTCCACTTTTGAATAGAATAATGAAATCGACTCTCCTAAATGTACATCTAGAAAATTAGTTAGTATCGCTTTAAATGATTAAGATGTTAATATTTTATCATTAAATCAAAGAAAGTATTAGAGATAAGAAAGTATTGAGAATGAAATGGAATTATCAGATTAGTTTGAATTCTATGACATTAACAAAATATATAGCTGATATTAATTTTATTTATACAATTTAAATTAATTAAAATATTTGTCATTATAAATTTATATTTCATACTTGAAGATATTAAGGTTCTAGCTAAAATATAATTAAATTGAATAAAAAAATATTGTTAAATCTTCTCTTAATGTAATGAGTATCTAAAACAACCTCAAAAAAAGATATCTCTTATTGTTAGCTTGAAATCAGTGAATATATCGCTTTTTTCTCCAATAATAATAATAATCTAAAAATATTTATTATTAGTTTATTTTGAATTTTATTTTTGAATATCAAAACATAAAATATACTTTTAATAAATTTAATACTCCATCAAAGTCTGCCCTTGAAGTGTAAATTTTATTTAATTGATTATATTATCAAACTTTACGACTCAAATATGTTATAGTACAATTAAGAAATTTAATTCAAATATTTTTTTCAAGTCTTTCATTAAATTATTTAGAATGTATACATTTATATAGATTTCAACTTAGCCTTTCCATCAATATTTGTTTTTATAACTACTCTTAAATCTGGTTAAGACTATTTTTATATTAATCAAATTTCTGGTTACACAAAAAACAAAACTCTAAAAAAAATGCAAATTTTATCTAAAAGCAGTTGATAATTTTTTACTTGAAACTTCAATTTGGAAATAATATAAATTGATTGTATTGGTATTTATATAAGATTCCATAAGTGGATCTTCAAAATTTTTATTTATTACCTAAATAGATAAGAAGAATAAATTAGATTTGGAATATAAATAAACTCATTAATCTTAAGCAAAATGCATCTTTAATATCAATCAAGAAAAATATATTATTTCAAAATATATTATTTTGTGAAATTATTTTTATAAAATGTTTATACAATTAAAAAATAATACATTATCTCTTTTCTTTTTTTAAATTATATAAGACATATGTATAAATTAAATAGGGTATAAATACTTCATTTCGAAATTGTTAATTTAAAGATATGTATTTTCAAAGTGAATACAAAACGAACATAAATTTTAGGATTAAGGGAATGAGTTTTGTAATTTAATTGTAAATAAATAAATAGTTTTAAAATATATTTATTTATTTAGTAATGATTGATCCATAAAGCGAACCTCTTTTTTCATAGAAATACAAATTATAATACTCTATAAAATAAAAGGATTACTCTCGGGCCTTGGCTATTAATAAAGCAAATTCAATGCTTATTGTTGGATAAGAGAATAAGATTGCAATTTATTAATTCAAATAAGGAGAAATTAAAGAAATTGGTAAGGTAAGAAAACATTTAAACTCAATTAATACTCTTATTTTTATTAATCAGCAAAATAAATTTATATCTGGCTGTTGTAATTCAAAAATTTACTTATGGTCAAACTTTTAATGTTCATAATAAAAATTTATTTAAGAACTTAAAGGCCATTTTGAATGCATTAATTGCTTGATTTTGAATGAACCTTTTGATGATCTGATTATATCTGGTAGTGATGATTAAACAATAAAATTTTGGTAATAATCACAAATGAATTCTTGGGTTTGTATATAAACCATAAAGGAGCATTTTACATCTGTTAATACATTAGCAATTAATCCTGAACGTAATTTAATTATTTCTTGCGGAGAGGATTTTCAAATATTAGTTATTGAATATCTAAATCTCTAAAATACTTGGTATGTAAAATAAAAAATCCATGTTGATTAAGAGAGCTATCGTATAAATTTTATTAATAATAACCTTTTTGTATTTTAACCAAAATGTGGTCCTACATTATATGTTTACGAAAACATAAATAATGGGTTAATTTCAGAATTTATAAAAACAAAAGAGATTTCTGTTCATGGAGAATATTAAATTTGTAGACCTTTTTTTCCTTCTATTGTTAATAGAAAAAAGAATGTTTTCATTAATAAAAATGGATATTGCTTGAATATAATAAGCTTAAGCTAAGACAAATAAGAAACTGAAGAATTTAGATTGAAATAAGTTATTCATTTTGGAAACTAAACATATGGAAGAATATTTGGAACTCTGAGTGATGATGGTGAATATTTATTAATTTGGGATTATTAATCAAAGGAAATTCAAGTTTGGATATACAATTAAACTGAGAATGAATAAGAATGATCATTACATGTATAAATTGATTTTAGTTAACTCATTTAAATAGACTTTTATTAATTGAACTTAATTACCAATTAAGATTATTGTTTATTTTTATATATTTATTTATTTCAATAAATTAATGCAAATGTCTTCTTTTATTCAAGAAAGTGTATATGAAGGAAATTAACCTATAGAAAAAGAAGAGGATGTAATTTTTATTAAAGGTCCATAATTACTTATTTTGGATATGAAATTTTCTGCTGTAAAAAAAATAAATTCTGATTTTAGGATTAAAACTATATTCTCCTTACAACAAAAGAAGGATTTAAATTGTATGATTTATAGGAAGATTAACTTTTCATTAATGAAGAAAATTTAAAATTAGGAGACATATATTCTATTGATTTCTTTGAAAATTAAGGAAGTCAATTTGTTATTGCTTTAGATTAGTTAATTGTAATTTGGGATTATAATTAAAGATCAATTTTCAAAAAATTTCCTCTGATTTAAACTCCATAATAAATTTCTTTTTGCAATCCATTTATAATTGCAGGGATTAAATAATAACATTAAAATATTATTTTAGTATTAAATGTAAGAACTGATTAAGCTTATAGATATTTACAAATATAAAACTTAAATGGATAGATAATATTTGCAAATAATAAAAATCAATATAACTGCGTCTTAACTTATCTAAATTAAAATGGATCTTTCTTACTCATAGATTTCTTACATTATTAGGCTCTACAAGGAATAAATATAAAAACTATGACAATAATTTCAGATGAATAAATTGTTGATTATTAAAAATAATCTCTATCAAAACAAATATAAACAGAATCCTAATTTAGAATTTATTCTAATGTTGGTTATATATAAACTTGTATTGCCATCTCAAATGATAGCAATTTACTTGCTATTTCTCCATTAATAGACAACTAAAGAATATATATTTACAGTATTTCACCTTCATAATCACCAAAATTAAAATATTAATTATATAGAGGACAAACCAAGAAAATGTTAAGTTTGTATTTTGGACCTAATGAAATGCTTGCATGTATAAGTTTTTAGAATAATATAAATATGAGCAAAAATGATGGAACTATTCATTTGTATTATAAAATGAAAGAAATTAATGATAATGAAAATAAAGATTTAAAGAGTTTGACAAGATTATATTTTAAAACTAATTCTAACGATATTACTTATCAAAATAGAACTAAAATGATCTTACTTTCAATTAATCAAGAAAAATTACAAGTTTTTTCAGGTTATTAATTTAAATTTGAGGAGTATTTATAATTGGACTCTAATTTAATAACAAAAGTTGTAGAGAAATAAAATTACACTTAATGGCCTAAAATTGATCCATATTGAATAATATTTGACCAATAATTTTATTTAAAATTTGTATTAATTTATTGGTATTTTAAATTAAAAAAAGTCTGCCATATTCTAATAATGTTTTCTTAATATCATAAAAATCCATTAATTCAAATTCATGCTAATATATTTTTATACCCCAAAATATATTTAAGAATGCATACAAAGCCTAAGATTTTTAGCTTAAAATTAAATAATTTAATATATATTATTGATATTAATCATGATTCTGTCTGAAAGAAGAAAAACAGAAAAAACACTTGCAAAATCATTAAGACCTTCTTTATTTTTGAATGAATTAGATTTATAAACAATGCTTCAAACATCTTCAGTGAAAACAGAAGGTAATATAAATATTGCCTCAAAAAACGAAGCGTAATAGCCAAATAGATAGTTACGCGTAATACCTGAAAACCCCACTTTTTAAATGTTACCTTAGATTGAAGAAAAATTTGTACTAAATTCGAAGTTAATTAATCTTCAAAAGGATAGAAGGGAATCAAATATTTTTAAGAATGTTGCTTCAGAATCATTATTACAATAATCAAAGAGTGATATTAAATTGCCTCATATTTCGTAAAGCCCATAAGTAAAAACTTTACCAAGACATTCTAGATAATTAACAAATGATGAATTAAGAAAAGTCGAATTTAGACCTTCAATAATGGTTATTGACTTTGTAAATAACATTATGAAGAAAGACTAAATCGATGGCAGTTCAAAACCTTTAACAAAAAAATTATAGAGATAATAAACCAGATTTGTTAAATAAAGCTTATGACTATTATATCCTAAAAATCTTATTTAATATTTTTTATAATATATATGAAACATTTCTTGAAATTAAATTAAGGCTAGATTCAGTGTAATAAATGATTAAAGGCTTCTTAAACAATATAGCTATTTTTAGAAAAATTTAAAACTGGAAATTATTGAGCAAATCTTTTAGATACTGCACCATTCTATTTAAGGCTTTATTTAGAGATTATTGATATTTTTAAATGAAAAACTTATTGCGTCTGTTATTTAATCAAACATATAACTGTTTTTTTATAAATAAATCATTATTAAAAGAGTTTCTTTATTAATAATAATATTAAGCTTTTAATATATTTTGTATTAACTCCTAGTCTTTGAATTCTAAAATATTAGAATATATTGTAGATTTATTTTTAAAATGTTTTCCAAAGATTGTCTATTTTATTTGCTTACATTTACACTTCTTCCAATTATAAATTAACATTCACGTTCATTTTGTTATATATTATATTATTTGAAAATCAACTATTTATGTCACACTTTTCATTTCTTCTTTATAAAATAATGTAATTCTATTAAGTTTTAATAGAATTACAATACTTTTTAGTTAGATTTTTTTAAAAGAGTATTTTTGTT